TGGTCTGTGGTCTGAGGGGTCTCGTAGCTTCTGGAGATGAGCCTTGTTCACCAACCGATGAACAAACTTCTGGATAGTCGCAATAGTTCATTTCCTGATTAAACACTAGAGACGATGGACATTTCTAAATCATTTATTGATGAGGAACCAACAAAAATACAATAGTTAGACAATACCACGCATACCATAGGAGTTGCAACTCCTTCGCTACAGTACACAAACTCGGAAGAGCAACCATTTGAATAGTACCCGTCCGGACGTCCTGCGCAATACTCATTCCTTAAAATAATTGAGCACTTAGATATTTTCTTGTATGGATGAGATAAGCTGTTACTGACATTGCTGAGGACGATGAAGGAGGCACTGGAGGCTTGTGCGGCTTAGCTGGTTTTGCCTCAGATCGTTCACTTTCGCAATTCTCCGGATAGTCACAGACGGAAGCTTTTTCATTGTAGACCAAACCAGCTGGGCATTTCTGCAAATTAATCCCGTAAAGAAACTCTCACTCGACTGTTAAGTATCATACAAAGATTGTTCCATTCCCTTTATAACAGTAAATGAAATTGGACGAACAACCATTGGAATAGAATCCATCTTCTCGTCCAATGCAGCTAAGTTCTCTGAAAGTTGCTTACTCATTTTTAAAAACATAATGTTTTACAAGTTGAAGGAAATAATGATAGATATTCACGATGATGACGATGGTGGACTTTGCTGCGAATGAGGAACTGGCTGGGACGGATGCGGTGCACCACTATTAGATAAGCAGTTTTCCAAATAATCACAATAACCACTCCTCTCATCGAAGACCAGCGAAGGTGGGCACTTCTGCAACAAAACAGTAATACTTTAGGCAACATAAACTTGATAACCTGAATACCATCAGAGTGGCAATCTCGTCACTGCAAAGGACAAATTCATTTGAGCAACCGTCAGAGTACTTTCCATCTGGACGCCCCGTACAATCCACAGGCGGTGACATAGATGGAGGCTGACTTGGTTTGGATGGCGTTGTTGGTGGTTTAATAGGTATTGGAGGAGCTTTGCCTAGGCAATTCTCAGGATAGTCGCAATATCCCTTCTTCTTATCGAAGACTAAGGAAGATGGACACTTCTAAATAAGTAGAATAGTCATTACTATCGATACAGCATATCCAACGCCTACCATCATGGTTGCAACGCCTTCACTACAGAAGACAAATTCAGCAGTGCAGCCATCGGAGTAGTAGCCGTCTGGCCGTCCGGTGCAGTCTAGTGTCCTAGAATTAAATTCATAAAATTTATCTACTTAAAGTGCATCAAAGTGTAGAGGTAACTACAAACCCAGTTGGTAACAAAGGAGGTGACTGTGCTCCTGGTTGCTCCGTCAAGTGCAGTGCTGGCTTAGGAGCAAGTGTATCAGGGATAGGGACAACTACAGACAAGCAGTTCTCCACATAGTCACAATAACCCTTCTTCTCATTGAACACAAGCGACTCGGGACATTTCTGAATGGGAAAAGTTTGAGATTGTAATCTATAATTTAAAGCATAATTAAGCAAACCATCGGAATAGCTATGCCACCGGAGCAGAAAAAGAACTCAGCGGTGCA